AGAAAAATCGCAATACAGAAAATACAGAGGAAACACAGATTTTACATGGTTCTTCAAATTGTCTACGTCCACGGAGCTACAGAGGATTTTATTGACTTGAGGAGTACACCGTCGACCACGTCGACTTATAAAAAAAAACTGTCTCCTCTCCTTCTCTCTCTCTCTCTACCCGAGAGCCACACTGAAGGAAGCCAATGGAAAATAATATATATAATTATTTTCCCTCTAAAACCAAAGTCAGAGAGATTACAAGGGGAGCTAGTATGCATATTTATTAATTCTATCATGTCATTACGCCCTTAAAGAATTAATCAAATAATTAATGAAACACATTAATTATTTCATTTTCTTGTCTATAACAAATCATAGAAGAAATTAAGAGTAATAATTTCGAGTATCAAATCTAATTTGCTGCCAAATATGAAAAAATATCAATTTGAACAGTGGACCGGTTTTCATATTCGTAACAAATTTCTCACTTGGAGACGGGTGCACTGGCTGCATCATCCACTAAAGGAAGCCAATGGAAAATAATATATATAATTCTTTTTCCTCTAAAACCAAAGTCAGAGAGATTACAAGGGGAGCTAGTATGCATATTTATTAATTCTATCATGTCATTACGCCCTTAAAGAATTAATCAAATAATTAATGAAACACATTAATTATTTCATTTTCTTGTCTATAACAAATCATAGAAGAAATTAAGAGTAATAATTTCGAGTATCAAATCTAATTTGCTGCCAAATATGAAAAAATATCAATTTGAACAGTGGACCGGTTTTCATATTCGTAACAAATATCTTACTTGGAGACGGGTGCACTGGCTGCATCATCCACTAACTACGTCGCTCTTTTCTTCAAATGTGATATCCTCCACCTTTACAACTCAAAGCTCATTGTTTTCACGCTAGAAGACCAACTGAAGTCGAGCACAACATCAGTTTCTCAAGAATAACACCCTTAGTGGACATATCATCGTCAACATAGCTTTGGACCTCCAAGCTCTTTCCTGGGTTATTTATATATCTGCTTACAACTCCCACAGCATAAGCAATATACTGCCTCTACCGAAAACTCTTTTCAACAAGTCTAGTCTTGTACCTCTTATTGTCATCAAACACAGTCTTCACCCAGTACGCACATTTGTTGTACAATGTCTTCTTCATTAGTGGAAATTCTATCAGCTCCTAAGTCTGATTCCCTGGGAGGGAATCCATCTTCTTTGGTCGTTTTACCAGCAACGGAAGATGAAGTTTCTTCTCATAGAGGTAGTGTTCTATCTGCATCCTTCAGTAACCAAAATATGTGTCATTAAACTTCTCGATCTCAGATGTCATCATTTCGTCTCCGTCCATCGTTCTTCATTAGATCTGAAACCACGTCTCTGATACTAGTTATTGTGAAAAATAACGGCAATAAAGCAAAGAACTGAATCAATAAAAATCGCAATACAGAAATACAGCGAAACACAGATTTTACATGGTTCATCAAATTGTCTACGTCCATGGAGCTACAGAGGATTTTATTTGCTTGAGAATTATACCGTCGACCACGTCGACTTACAAGAAAGAACTCTCTCTCCTCTCCTTCTCTCTCTCTACCCGAGAGCCACACCGAAGAAGGAAGCCAATGGGGAAAATAATACATGATATTCATTTCCCATTAAAACCAAAGCCAGAGAGAGATTACAAGGGGAGTTAATATGTCTATTTACTAATTTCATCATGTCATTAGGCCCTTAAGAAATTAATCAAATAATTAATGAACCCATTAATTATTTCATTTTCTCTTCTGCAACAAATCATAAAAGGAATTAACAATTAATTTCGAGTATCAAATCTAATTTGCTGTCAAACATGAGAAAATACCAATTTGAACAGTGGATCGGTTTCCATATTCGCAACACCTTGTTTATTTAACACTATACCCAGGCGTCAGTGTAGCGACCATTGCATAATTTTCATTGTATTCAGGCTATACAACGTGTCGCTTCCAAGGAACGTCTGACGCTTACACAATAATCAAAAGGATTCATGCCATGATTTTGTCTGACGCTTACACAATGATCAAAAGGATTCATGTCATGATTTTTCAACAAGTTTTACGCTGGTTGTCGACTATCTAACGCAACCCTCTACTTTTCACATCCAAACAATGGCAGTGTTAAATCACTATCATAGATAATAAAAAATATATGGACTTAATGTTGATTTTTCATATAATCCTATAGTAGTTAGAAGCTCTTCAATCACTCCATAATTACTTCTAATACTAGTTGACTAATTTTAAGTATGAAAAGGATTTAAAATAGTATGAAGTAGTGCAAATCATATTAAAATGAAAGGGGTAAAATATGGATTTTCAAGTTCAGTTGTATCCAAGTTAAAAATTTTGGCTAAATATATTACTTTAAACAAATCAATTATTTTGCAGCATGCACAACCAAGAGATTATCTAAAAAGTCACTACTGTCTATTCCATCTTCATTATTCATGTTTTATTCTATAATAATAAATTTTATAGCCATCCATCTCCTCAATATCCTAGCACTCTTCTTTAACCCTACTCTAAAAACTTAAAGCTTCTATAACTATAATTTGACTGACATGTTCCAAATTACATAACTTGGTTTCTCGTACTCGAGATTTTCTTTCGCATAAACTCATATCAAATTATTATCTTGAAAACTAAACTATCTTTTTTTCATTTTGAGTGTTATCAGCCAACTCTTTAAACAAGACATTCGCCTCACAATCATCCACCTTAAGCTAAAGCACTAGCTTAGACATGCCTTAATAATGGTGCTCACTTGGGAGGTGTGCAAGGCACTATGGCCTTTCCTTGCCTTACCATAACACGTAACTTTCGATGCTAATACATCAAACTAATTCAAAAGGTAATTGATCATATGTCTTCTCAAGATCAATAAAACTCATATGATCATTTCTTACCATAACACGTTACTTTCGTTATAATTCATTAATTTTCTTTGAAAAAAAAAATTAGTTCCAAATTGGCTCTTCCTATAATAAAACAAAATTAATATCTAATATGTTCATAACTTTTCTAAGTTTATGTTTCATTATACTCTCGATCTTCATTATATGACTCATAAGTTTGATTCCCTTGTATGTAATCCAAACAATCTCTATATTTCTTGAATATCAATATCGTGGTGCTTCTTCATTTATTAGGGATTACAAAAACAAAGAAAAAATAAAAATTGCATAGTCCAAAAAAAGCTAACCAAACAAAAATAAATAAATAAATAAATAAATAAATAAACGATTTAGTTCAATTCAATTTGAGTTCAGTTTCATTTCAATTTCTAGTTTAGCATAAACCAATTAGTTCAGTTTTTCTTAGTTATGAAGTTCACAAAAATTAAAAATAAATAAATTGTTCACAAACCTAACCAATAAAACTATAAAACCAAAATGAATGATCCTAAATCTATAGCTTGTAAATCAATTTCTTACAGCAAGTAAATGCAAAAATAAAACAAACCAAACCAAAAATAAAACCAAAACAAACCAATCAAAATTATAGTCTTTTTATAGTATCTAGTTCTAAACTCAAATTGAACCAACGCTAGACAAAAACAAGTACATTTGGTTCGGATTCAATTTTCATCGATTCAAATTTTGTTCCTACTTTTGATATTTAGTTTTGCTAGATTCTAAACCTTCAATAATATGGAACCACAACAAATCATGCCCAAAATATCAATTATTTGGCAGCCTCTTAGTATTAAAAGATCGGCAAAAGTATTTGTTAACAAAATTTCTCCAATAATCAATATCTCATCCTAACTCTCAAAAGCACAATAGACACCCAATATAGAATTAAAATTTCACATTCATGCATCCACTTCAAAGCAAACTCCACTTCAACTTTGTGGAAAATTTTATAAGATGGTGTTGAAACCTGCAATTATTTATGGCGTTGAATGTTGGCCTTTAAAAGAGAAGCATAATACTAAGTTAAGTGTTGCCTAGATGAGAATGATTAGGTGGATAAGTAGCTTTACACTTAGAGACAAAATGTGAAATGAATATATCCGTGACAGGGTTGGTGTAGCTCTTGTGACGGACAAAATTAGAGAAAGTAATCTTAGATGGTTTGGTCACATTAAGTGTCGACCATCTGATGATCTGATTAGGAGAGTAGATTTTTTAGATTTGACTTATGTTAAGAAAAGCAGGGTAGACCTAGGAAGATTTGGGCTTATTGTATAAAAAATGATCTTAATTTATTAGAACTAAATGAAAATATGACACTAAATAGGACGCAATGGAGAAAAAGGATTCATGTAGCCGACCCCACATAGTGGGATTAAGGCTTTGTTGTTGTTGTTGTTGTACTGCAAATTTTGCTCCTTATTTTGTACCAAAAATCCTTGTTTTTCCTTGCATTTCCATTAAATCATTATTCAAAGTAGCATCTTTTACCTTTCTTTACGTTTGTGTCATTAAGAAAAACCTTCTTACAGCTGCGCCTAATGAATCCAAATTCTAATCTTAGATCTCTTTCCC